CAGAGAAAGTGGTGGCAAGGCGAGTGAGAGAAATTCGGGACAGTAGCGGATTGTTTGATAAATTTCGTCCTGGATTCAGCCACAGCCATGCTACTGAGGCTGCCCTTGTCAAAGTCATAAATGGTTTGAATGCCGCTGCTGAAAAGGAAGCCTGGCCTTGTTTGTACTATCAGATCTAGCCATGGGGGGGTTATTTTGTAAAAGGCTGGATTCTGTTGCAGTGCCTAGGTGACTGGCTAGTGTTGACTGAGAATGCGTTGAAACGGTTCCAGCAGTACTTGATTGCTTTCCCCAATCAACATAGTAGGGTAAATTCTCCTCGAGAGCAGCCAGTTTCACATAATGACACTTGATCCCAGGGAGAATTCACCAGCGGCCTGACTTAGTTGGCACTGATGCTTTACGCTCTTTCTCTTGCCTTTCAGAGAGATATATGAGATGCATTAGAGCAGTGTATTAGAACTCCTTTTTGCTTTGTTGAAGAGGACTATATTTCTAAAAGTACCAACAATCAGATATACAGAAACAAAAGACTTTCTTGTGCAGTCAAGATTATTAATAGAGATAAACCACTTGTTTGTACCTGTTAATTTGAAGCCAGACTTCTTCTTAATTTTTTTTTTAAAATAAAGAAGCCTGAATTCTGTTTGTAAATCTGGAGTGACAGTGCTGACACCTATAGATACATACAGCTGTAAGTAACTTAAGAGGAGAATCCGACTCAATTATCTGAAAACCAGAAGTCACTGAATAACTTTCCCTGGGCCTTCAGTTTACATTCATGACCAGTAAGCCTAACAAAGAGACTCTAGTGCTTCTTCTGCAACTCACATCCATTCCAGTTCAACCAGTAGTCTGGTAACATTCTAAACCTGTAGAAATTTGCTCTATCCTCTGGCTTTTCAGGCTGTAGCGAAGCTGTGGTCTGCAGAGGGATTACAAGCTTTAGACCAAAGACCTGAAAAGGCGTTTAGCCACAGATCTTTCTGGATCTCATCAGTGGGAAAATAGATTTGCTTCTCCTCAAGATGCCTCTCATCAGTAACATATAGTATCTGAAATTAGCATCCACTGAGATTACCTGCAAATTCTCCAGTCTGAGATTATCACCAATGTAACTAAATAGGCCGAACTGCAGAGGAAATTTGAATGAACCTTCATTTTTGTAACAGATATGGGTTCTCAGTCACTATAACTTAAGGGTCTGTAAAATCAGAATATGATAAACAATCTTTTGTGAACTTCATAGATGAGAAATGTGCAGCATGAAAAAGAGCTATCCGGAATAATTAATTAATTCACCACCTTTCTCTTATATCTTCATATGTCCACGAGCTGAGGTAACCTGTTATCTTCAAGGATCCTTTTTTACTTCATGACATAATAATTTAAACTAGTATACTGGATTTAAAAAGACAAATTATGTTCATGTGCAGTGGGAACCTAAACAAAACTGAATTTGAAGCCTTTCTTTCTCATTAAAAAATCAGAAAATAATTAAATCCAAGCATATCCTTATTTTTTTACAAAAATTATATAAGAAATGTATGCAAAGTACATAAACATACATTAAATCTATAAAACATTTCAGCTTTCCATTTTCACCCAACATCCACATTAATAATCTGAATAGGAAGTTTATTAACATGTAGTGATAAATTGAAGAATAGTGTTTCATAGAAGGCATAAAGAAACCAGAATTTGACTTGGTGTGTTTATTAACGCTACCAAACAAGCTCTGCTTAAGAAACCAGAAGAAAACATACCCTATCCATTTTTTTCCCAATGAATCTTAATTTCTGTTTGGCATCCCCTGATTTGTAAATCAATCTTGTATTTTTCCTATGGAAATACCTAAACATTCATATTGAGAATATATATACTTCGCTTTAAAATGGCCTTTTAATTGTTTCTTTTTTACATTAAGCTTCGCAGAAAACAATTGGACTTAGTACAACCCAAAGACTTCAGGTTTTGCACCTTGCATTCTGGTTAACCACCCCATAGCAGGGCCCTCAAAGTAGGCTTCTTGGTTCAGTAATGTGCATGCCCCTTGCTAATACCCTCATTGCTAATCATAACTCAGGAGAATAAATCCAGCTACGCATTGAAAACCATTTTACAATTAACTTATTTATAAGAAGACCATAATTACATTGTGTTATCTCACTTTGTTTTTACAGCCTCTTACCATGCTTCAAACAAGCAAATTAGACATGTAGTGCTGGGTGATATATGGGGGGGAATGTTGCAAAGGACATATTTTAGTGACCTGAATTTGAAAGGATCATGTAAAGGTTCATGATTTTGATTATTTCAGAAAGATGAGACCACTGTTTTGTTGATTTGCTCTGCTTTGCTTTGCTTTTTGGCACTTCATAGTAAACCATCTTACCTAGGTCATTGCACAAGAAGAGACAGGACTTAACATTTTTTTAAGAATTCTTTCAGTGGTTCTGAAAACATAGCTATTTTTCTATATCAAGCTAACACTGTTTCAATATCTAATATTTCATAATTGACCAAGACCAAATCCAGATGGTTCGTATTATTAAGATAATGTTAGCATCTTGCTGGGCACAGGAAGTATTTTTAGCTGCAGTAGGTTATGAGATACTGGGACACAAACCTGTCTTTAGTCCCCTTTCTAACCTACTGGGTAGAGTAAGATGGGGAGAAATTCCACTCTGAGGCAGAATAATATTTTAAAGAAAGTTGGAGCAAAGGAACTGTTTTTCTGCTTATCAACAAAATTTTGGGGGCAGAGGTCATTCAAAATCAGCCACACTTTGAATTTTTTTTCTACTAGTGATATTCAGCCTTGCTTCTCATTAAAATAAGGTTGACTAACCTTCCGTGATGCAATTAAATGTCTTTGAAACTGCATGTGCACCAATAGAAGGAAACAGACTAAGGAAATGCACTGCCAAATAGCCTTATGGTCTCAAGAAAGTATATATGTCTGTTCTCTTCTGTCAAGAGGGTCCCCCTTGCTCCCACTGATCTCAGTTATGGATCTGAGCATGTTCTTACTGCTATCAGAAAGAAGTTTTACTCATCCATGGCCCTGACTTCAGTTTTCAAATTTGTATCTTCTCTGACTGACACATAACTTTTTTTTAAACAAATGCGCTGAGAAAAACTAGTTAGGATGGTGTACTGGTTTGGGCTGGGATACAGTTAATTTCCTTCACAGTAGCTCTTACGGTGCAGTGTTTTGGATCTGTGACCAAAACACTGTTGATAACAGGGGGATGTTTTAGCTATTGCTGCACAGTGCTCACACAGCCTCAAGGCCTTTTCTGTTTCCCACCCCACCCCACCAGTGAGCAGGCTGGCGGTGCACAAGAAGCTGGGAGAGGACACGGCCAGGAAAGCTGACCCAAACAGACCAGAGGGATATTCCATGCCATATGATGTTGTGCTCAGCAACAAAAGCGGGGGGAAGAGGAGAAAGGGTGGACGTTCAGATTGATGGTGTTTGTCTGCCCAAGTCACCACTAAGCGCGATGAAGACCTAGCTGAACACCTGCTTACTGATGGGAAGCAGTGAATGAATTCTTTATTCTGCTTTGCTTTACCTATTAGTCTGTCTTTATCTCAACACATGAGTTTTCTCACTTCTACTCTTCTGATTCTCTCCCATATCCCACTGGAGGGAAGTGAGTGAGCGGCTGTGTGGGGCTGAGCTGCCTACCAGGGTTAACCTACAGCATATTGCTGAGTGGCAATAACACCATGTCATTTACAACACCAAGCACTTTAAAGCATGAATGATAAAAACATCAGAATTCATACTCTGACTACTCAGGAATATCTCTTTTCCATTAGATAAGGTCAAAGGGACGACACTCTTACCAATAACAAGAAAACTATTTTGCAAGGCAAAACTTCCTTCTCTGAGAGATATAAGGATATGGCAGTAGCGACAGTATAAGCTGAGAAGAACCAGGACGTGTTTTAGATGAGTAGAGAAAGAAAGGGGCCATCTCTCACGTATATGAGACTTGGAGAATCTGCAGGGTCAGGAAATGTGAAGACTTTTATGAGAGGCGACACCTAAAGATGCAAGGTTATGGCCTGAAATGACATGGCACATGTCTATTCTCCACAGTAACCAAGAAAGGTGCAGTAGGGAGAGCTTGTTGGAGGAGATGAAGAAATTTGCTTCAGCCATGAGGAGCTCACTGAGGTGATGACCAGACATTGCTAAGGAGATATCAGTTCATGTTTTCATTTTGAATGGAAGTAGATAAGTCTGGATCAGAAACAGACTTGTGAATTTCAGCACACAGGCAGCAGTTGAATTTGTGCCCTGCAGTCAGTAGGTCAGGTAGGTTAAGGAAAGGATGGAGTCTCCGAGATCTGTTTGAGGAGAAATCGATGGAGAAATTGGCACGAGCAACGCCAGTGGAATTGCAGTAGGCAGCCCAGCAACGAGTCGGAGATGAACTCCAGGCAGCAAAAGTAAACAGCACTCTCAGCATGCTTACAGATAAGAGGGAGAAGGGGGATGAGATGGTAGTTGCAGAGGCAAGCAGGTTCGATGTGTGTTTTCAAAGGGGAGAGATTAAACACACACTTGTTTTGAGAGGAGGGAGAAGCCAAGGCAAATGACAATGTACAGAGAGGAGTAGAAAAAGAGGTAAGTAAGCACCAGGGAGAGGAGAAGACGGAATAACTTGTTCCGCTTAACGCTTGCATCCGTTTTGCAGATCAAAACTGCGCTAATTTGGGAAGCAGTTTATATAATCCATAAAAATGCATTTTATTAGCTTTTTTTTTGCCTTGAATCACTGAGTTCTAAAGAATGAGAACAGCCATAAACGCTATTGTCTCCACAGGCAGCAATTTGGAAATAGAAGATGCATGGTTACATGATAAGTGTATTTTCTTCATAAGAAATGTTTGCCAATCAGGTTTAAAATAAGGGAAAAATAACTTGAAAATATTCTGCACTTCAGAAAATAATAAAATGTCTTCTTATTTTTCCCTGGTAGGCCACGCAATGCAGATTACTTTATGCAGGAAGCTAAACGGAAGAAGCATAAAGCAGATGCAATGGTGAGAACATTTTCTTTCCAGTTATGCTGCTCCAAATTATTTTTGTAATGCAGTTTCTTCATCAGTGCAGTATTGCTGGGGTAATTATAAAATCTATTATAAGGATGGCTAGGCTTGTTAAATTAAGAAATGTTTATATAATCAAATGTTCATAGCCCAATAAACTATGACTTAACAAATAATGACTTACTGAGATAAAGGCCTGGATAAATAAAACTTTCCATTTATTCCTTTGCTTTAATTAGTAACTATAGTAATGGAGGCTGTTTAAGGGATCCACATACCTATCTTCTCAGTTTAACTAGCTGGCTAGGTTCTATAATTGTATCCCCAAATTTGGTCTGGTGGCTGAGGTATTTGTACATTTTTTAAAGAGCTTTTGCTTTTCGGTGCCAAAAGAATCCTGTTTTCATAGCAGATATTTTCTAACATAATCAGAAGCACACAAGGCATCTGTGTGACCGTAGAGGAACACCATTCACACAAAGGACTGTTGCAACAAACAGATACTTGGCCCTTGCTTTCACCTGTCTAACAGCATAGCCAGTAACAAAAAGGGGGATCTGAGGTTATATGGAGCACTAAAGAGATGTTGTCTTTCCAAACAAATGGGTGCAACGAAGTACACAGTGCTCCAGGAAAGCTCCCCTTGGCCATCTCTCAGCTTTCTCCAAGGCTACGTTTGTCCAGCACTATCAATAAGCTAGCACAGCCTTAAAAACATTAGGCGTCTGGGATGGCAGCCATGATATACGGAGTGGGACCCTGTGGTAATATGGCTGTCTCACAGGTGGGAGTAGCTGCAGTCCTGCCTTGCTCTGTCAGACAGACACTTTGTTGTCACAGCAGCAGGAAAGAAAGGTAGCTCAGAGCCTCTGTTTCCTCACCTCTTTTTCTCAGCTGTGCAGAATGTAAAAAGGCTGAGGAAGCAGAAGCAGGCCCTTTATTTAGGACACTAGCACCGAGTTTTACAGCCTACCTGAGTTTATTAGCGCAAATTTCCATGGTTTATTCAGTTCCATATTACTCCAAAGTGAGTCTTAAATCAGAAAACATTGTGGAGAAGTACAAATGGTACATTTAGTGTGTTGCTTTAAACAGAATGGAAAAGATCACTTAATATGCAAAGGAAATTCTTAGCCTGAAGAGAAATGTTTTTATTCTCTGCTCTGCCACAAGTTTCTTGCGTGAAAGTCACTTAGGCACAGTTTAAATAACCTCCCATCAGTATTAGGTGATTGAAATATCCTTCACATTCAAACCTTTTGCAGGTACTTCCTCTCCCTCCTGGACTGTGTAGGGATCCTGGAGGAATTGCCATATTGCCAAAGTGCCTCCAGGTACTTTGAATCACCCTGCTGGGCTCGATACCTCCTGCTTTGGCACTGCAGTACCTAACATAGGCACTTAGAGTGAGCAGCCTGAAAATTACTCTAAGTCTCTCTGCTCCTTAGTCCCCCATCTGTGAAATTGGGATAATAGCACTTCCACCCGCACAAGAGCGTCAGGGAGAGAAATATAATAAAAAGTTTGTGAAGTTCTCCGGTATGATCACAATGGGAGTCATATAAGAACCTAAAATAGATTGAAGCCAGTGTGGCATTCCAAAGTTACTATTTAAAATCTTTATCCCTTGGAAAAGAATAAGGTCCATTAACCTTTCACTGCGTGCATCAGATTTCAACCAAATGCATCCAGTCCATTAATGGGCTTTATGTACCGCAGGAGTTCTGACTGAAGGAGAGAGAAGGCAGGACAGAGAGGTATTAGTATGATTCATCTCTACCCACATCAAAAATGAAATTCTGAGAGCAGATAAGTGGTATGTAAGCGTACGTATATGAACATTATCTGCACATTTGCATATACATAGTCACTGAGGACATATATGCACATATATCCATGTAAATACACAAATACACACAGAGTCAAAGAAGTATTGAAAATAGGAGAAGAAATGGGACAAGGAAGGAGGATGGCAGAAGCTGAGGGAGCAGAGCAGTCCCTGAAAGAGAAGGAGGCTACAGAAAGCAAATTCCTGACAAGAGGAGAGTGTGGTCAAGCAGTGCTGCAAATGGTCAGGATAAAGAAGACATGAGAACCGAGATGAGCCTTTGAATAAGAGTTAGTAGTCAAAGTATTTAATTCTCATTCTCTTAGTTCAAGATGATCGTTACCTTTCTTTGTTGAGTGATGAAAAACTGTATTTGCAAAGATGTATGAAACCCTTTTTAATGAAAGCTGGAACAAAAGGCCTGATGAGTTTGTGGAATTTCCAGCACTGAAAGAGCTTTGATAAACATCTGTCAGGAATGTCCTAGGCAGAGTTGATCCTTCTTTGGACACAAGAGCGTGGACCAAATAACATCTCGTAGCCTTTTCAGCTCTACTTTCTGTATCTTATGATTTTCGTTGATGCACAGGGTTTCATGGGCTTTAGCTTTCTCATAGGAAAAATTGTGCAGCTGAAGATATACCAACTTGTGTCAAGTTTACAATTCATGTTGAGAAAATCCCATCAAATGTAACCATATCTTGATGATTACACTATTTCTCTGTGTCCTTATTTTTTCCCTCTAGGTGGAAAAGTTTGGAAAGGCACTGAATTATGCAGAAGCAGCACTATCGTTCATTGAGTGTGGAAATGCAATGGAACAAGGCCCAATGGAATCCAAATCCCCTTATACAATGTATTCAGAAACAGTTGAACTCATCAGGTAGGAAGGGAGGAAATGACCTCAGGGGTTACTCCGTTTGTGCAAACATGCTCATCTACATTATCACATAATTCCCTAGATACAGTAAAAGGGGAGAAGTGAGGTCCTCCCAAGTGCCTGGTCAGTCGTATGTAATGTGTATGTATTATCTGTGATTTCTATGGAAATTAAATCAGGAAACTGTGTAGAATGAAAACAACAAACAAACGAAAAAAACCCAAAGCTTTTCACATTACTTGAGTTGCAAATTATTTCAAGAGTTTCGTGATATGTCACATGCTACTCAAATGAGAACAATACATAGTACTAAAACGTTGTCATAGAGCGATAGTTTGCAAAATGTTGCAACATGTTTAAGACTGCAGTTTAAAGGTTACCTGAAAGAAGATGTGAACGGTGATACAAAAATGGACACTCAAGGTCCATTTGGTATCTGTGCTCCTGCTGTAGCCAGCGGAGTCCCCAGAGCAGTCCAGCTCACACTAAAGCCACCCCTACACTGAGTCACCTTCATAGCTCTCCAAACAGGACAGTCTAGAATTCAAGTCCCACCTGCAGTCCCTGTGAAGAAAGTTTGTCTGCTACATCCTTTTCTCCGTTATGGTTGATATGAATAGTTAACATTATTGACAGTATCGGTAGAGAACACAAAGGTCAAAATCATCCCAGCAGCTGAGTGACTCTCTGCAAGAGAGCGAGCCCAGCCACGCGAGCAGAGAAAGCTGCACTGTCAGTGACCATGGCATCATTCCACAGGACAGTCAACCACACAGCTCTCATCAGGACTCAGTTCATAGGAAGTAAAACATTTTAATATTTAATCATATTCATAATGAAGCAAAGCTTCTAAAACAATTGCATTCTTTAGGACTTAGTGTTGATGTGAAGATTTTCTCACATGTTAACAATTCCATTGGTATTTTATTCCACTTAGGGCTGTCTTCTCATGCATTTCAGTGGCTTGAGGCCAGCTTTTTAACTGGAAGGTTATTAAACAAAATCAAATTTTTTTTTTTTTTTCAATAAGAGCCTAGTACCTCCCATCTCTGCGATTCTTCCCTTCTTTTCTTCAAAAGGCAGAAAGCTCTTTCTTTGTCTGCCCTGTCTTTTCTCATGAGAGTAAATATATGGTCCTAACTCTGGAAATGAATTTTGCTTGCAGATCCATAGCTTTCAATAATGCGTGTAGCTGTGGTTGTGTTGCAGTGTGAATTGCTGTTGATCTCACTTGCTGCAGCTCAGAAAAATAAGTGGTTTGCTAGGTATGCGTGTTGAAACAAAATGGTCACACCAAATCTTTGCACAGATATCGGGATTAAAGTTTGAAAGCAAAGATAAGAAAAAACCACAAGCAGCTAATTATGGGGAACAGGTATTTTTCTGGAAGCGAGCCCAGAAGTGCTGTGTGTTGTCCTAACCTTGTCCATTGTTCAGGTATTCAGCTGGAAGCTGAGATTTCCAGAAACTAATTTGTGGTTGCATAGCACATACACTCTTGAAACAGCAGTGCTACCTCTGTAGATGTTTAATATTTATAGAATTTGAATGTAATGTCATATGACCAAAAATAGCTCTGAGCCACATGTTCCCCCTCTGCTGTGCTCTGCTTGGAGGAGCAAATCTGGGCAGACACGCTCAGAACTGGCAGGGTGAGGGCAGCACCAGCTTCAAGGCAGGCTGTCGTCTCCCTTCAAACGCTGTGAAAACCTTTCTGCATGAACTCTGTGTAACTGGGTCTCCGCAGCAGCAGAGGTTATTTTGGTAGGACAGCATCGCTTCGCCAGCTAGGCACCCCTCTGGACTGACGGATGTTCAAGGGAGTTACTGCTGTTTAAAGAGTGCGGGGAGGCACTGCTAATGGCAAAATAGCTCTGAAATACAACCAGAAAAAGCACGTGTGTGTCTGGTAACTTCAGCAAATATGTATAAGGGGGCAGATCAAATGACATTGGCCAGCTTAGCTCTCTGATGAGTAATATAAAGCTGTCTCAGTTAATTCACATTGGCTTTTTTCCTTTTGCTTAAGGTATGCGGTGAGACTAAAAACCCACTCAGGCCCCAACGCCACTCCAGAGGACAAACAGCTGGCAGCATTATGGTTAGTAGATCAAGATTTCCTCAAAAGGCTTCTTTTCTGCAATGAGCCAGTTCTTGAAAAATCAGATACTGGACACGGCCAGATAGGATTATGTTGTCTTTTGAAATTAAGAGAATACTTTCTGCTCCGGGAAGTTCCAGCCCTTGTATCACTGTACCAGGTCCGCATTCTGTCTCTGTAAATAAGCAATTCATACTTATTGACTGTGACAGGTCAGCTATGGTACGTCAGCGTAATTAATTTTTAAATGCCTGATGGTTTGTTGTTTTTATGAGTGATGTACTTTTGTACCGATAGCTCGGTAATTTCTTTTGTGGCTGACATTTTAGGCTCAATAATCATAAATTATATTTACATTATATGAAGGGAGATACGGTGATGGTGATAATTAAGCCTCTTGGATTACCTTTCAAATTGAGATTTCTAGATATATATGCACGCACCTTAGATTCTACAGGATGGTTGCTGATTGGTAGTAAAATACTAAAATGTTATTAAAATCAAATTTTAATTTAATATCTATGTAGTTAATACATAAAATACCTATTACATGGTTACTGATTCTCAGTAAGTGGACATTTACAATCAGCAAGTGTGTTTTTAACATCTATTAGCCATCTGTTAAAAATCCAAATGAAATGCATCTTTAGCCTCCATAAATAAAGAGTCCTAATTAATTATTTGTATAAAAAAAGAACAAAATACTCCGTGATGCAAATTTTTTTGTAAATGCCCTTTCTTTGTCACTGGTGTACCGTGCCATCAGGCGAAGCACGGGATGCATTCATGGCAATGGCTTTAAAAATGCTTAGGTGGGAAAATGACGAAAGAACAGTTAAAAAAAGATAAAAAAAAATAAAAAAAATAAATAAAGCTATATTACGAAGGGTTGCTCAGAAGTGCTGGAGCGCTTCGGCGTGTGTGCGGAACCGCATCCAAATTCACAGAGCCGCTGCATCTGTTTCAGCAGAAAGGTCAGCGCAGGGGAAAGCAGACGGTGCCTTCTCTGGGCGATGAATAGCAATCTTAACTCACCGTCTGCCAGCCAGCAGATGAGCTGACACCATTTGCATATGTGCTGTACCTGTGAAGGTGACAGAGCGAGAGTTATGGTGGCTGCGAGGCCACCGCATCCCCCCTTGGCTGCTCCCAGCGCCCGCCGGGCGGGCTGCCAGGCTGCCGGCTCAACCCGGCTCCTCTTCTCCTAAGGAGAGACTGTCCTCCAGCGGCCAAAGGCAGAAATTCACCTTCTGCTTTCGGGACGGGAGGCCAAACCGGCTGAGAAACCCGGGCTGGGTTGGTTGTTGTTTTCAAGAGCTATTTGCTAATTCGAGGGGTTTGCTGAGGTTTGGGCAGGTGCTGGGCGCGGGAAGATGGGGAGCGCCCTGCACTTCCAAACTCAAGGCATCTTCTGGTGCTTCACGTTGGCTCCGAGACTAAATACCGCTTTTAAAAATAAGGCTTCTGCTGCCAAAGGAAAAGCAAAACACGCTAGATTTTTGCTTTGAAAGCTGTGTAACTGTGGGGCAATCCCACACGTGCCGATCAAAAAGGTTGCTGGGAAGAGGTGGTGGTGATTCTTGATTCGGAAAATAGACAGGTACACCTAAAGCCAATAGCAAAGAAAAGAGTTTGTGTGTCCTGAATGCTGATTAACAGTTATTGTGATGTATAATTATAGTTAATAGCTATTACTCTCATTTAATTACATAGCATTAAAGGTGTGTGGCACTCTTCAGACTAACGGGGGCAGACAATTCCAGTACAGCACGTTGAGATTTTCAGCCCACTGCTGGTTTCCTCTGGGGAACAAATCAGGCAGGTGGCCTAGGAATAGCCTCAGGCTCCAACAAAAACTGCATTCTGGTTTCCCACAGAGGAGCTTGGCCAGTGAAATCTGGGCAGGTCAGAGATTTCCCTGTTTCCCAGCTATCTCGAGCTGCTGGAAGAGACCACTGGGTGTACACAAAATACACCCATTAATGCTTTAGCTCATTATATAGGCTCCAGGCTGTTGTAATAAAGTCCCAGGATAAGATACCCCAAAAGGCTGCCTTTCCATTTACAAAAAGAGATGCAAAAAAACGCGTACGTTGGGTTCCAGGCCTGTAATGACCATTTCACAGAAGTAGCCTTTGGTCAAGCGTGCAGACTTCAAGTGAGAATCAAGGCCTGGGAACCCAACCCTGCAAACCCTTCTGAGCATAGTTTGTTTAGTGCCTCACTGGTAGCAATTGTCAATGTGACCTGTCCTGGCTGTAATACCTAGCCTTGCTCATGAATCCAATCAAAATGGGAAGTACTGTAAACAAATGGTGATAAAAACTATAAGCAAGGTGCTGCCAGCCTTCCACTCTGTTAGTTTGAGAATTTAAGATAATTAATTGGGGTTTCTGTTCAGGGGGCATGCTTTACCTTCTGCTCTCCCTTTTGTTTTAGTTACCGCTGCCTGGCCCTTCTGTACTGGAGGATGTTCCGACTCAAGAGAGACCACGCGGTCAAGTACTCGAAAGCGCTTATTGAGTATTTCAAGGTGCATTCTTTATGACAGGTCTTTAGATCCGTGTGTCATTATAGGAAATACAGCATCTTACTGAAAGAGCAGCTGTGCTGGGCTTAGTTCTTCCCCTGTGAAGTCAGTAGAGTTTTACCATAGACTTCCACAGCAACACCTGATCTCTAGTCAGTTCTGTTGTCTTCACAAGGGCCCCTCTGCAAAATACACACCATGTCCCTTCATTAAGGATAAGAAATTTATTGTACTAACAAACAGGTATTCTGAGATTATTCTTGGTCAATTGTCTAGTGCTATCCAGCTCTGTTGCAAATAGGTTTTGCAGATTTTGCTCTAAGAATCCTCTCCAGGATTACACTTCCCACTAGACTATCTGTGAGTTGACGACTTTGATCTAGATCAGCCCTCAGCTGCAGGGCTTCCACTTAGCAGCATCAATAGGTAGGACAGTGCAGCAGGACATGTTCTGACCCAAGGAACTGGCAAACAGCCCACGCTGACTTCAGTGGGAGTTGCATGAAAGCATCAGAGGGCAGCCAAACCGCCTGCCATGTACTTGACACAGCACTGCTGGGCCCCCCGTCCTGCTTTGCTTTGCCTGCTACTGCTTCCGTTTTCCACTCTCTGCCAGATCCAAACCCTGGTTATTTTGAATAAGACAGGAAGTCATTAAAAGTAGTTTAATATATTTTATTTGACAGGCATCCTCTCTCTGAAAGTATCCCAGGTACAAAACCTTTCAGGTGAAGCTCACCTAGCAGTCAGTCCATCCAGCATTTCATCTCCAAACACAAAACTGGTCTTTATCATTCTAATTAAAAAAATAATATATACGTACAAGTACGTATGTACAAGCTTTACAAAGTACAAGCTTTAAGGCAAACTCTTTTGGGAGACCTAAACAGCCATTTGTCTTTGAACAGAGGGGGTTTTTTTTGACAACTTTGAACAGTTGGGTTTTTTTTTTGCAGAAGGAGGTACCTTGAAATGAAAAACATCCATCCTTTGACATTTTGTTAATCGTAAAATTCAAATACAAGCATGAATGCTCATGACCAGATTCTGAACACATGAAGACAGTGAAGGAAATTGACAGATCTGTTATTGTCAAACTGAAATTGAAGTCACTGTAATTGCTTCTAAAAATTTAGCCATATATAATTCAACATGTTATGTTTCTCTAACAATGACTTGATTTCAGGGGAAAGAAATACGTACCTATTACAGCACTTTATTTTTCTTTACCAGTTGAGAGAATACCTGCATTAAGAACAGGATGGTCAGGCTTTCAACCATGTAAAATGTCTCCTATGAGCAGACAGCAACTGTTTCACAGCAAACATAAAATGGACTTATACTCTGCTATAGCCAAGATGAGCTTGTTTTTTTGCAGGGCTCCTGCTGATATAATGATAGTGTAGTTTCACATTAGAAGGTATTCTCACCTTTGAGAGTAAAAATGGAAAAAAAAATCCATTTGCTATAATTTTCAGTGGAAAACAAGCCAATTCTCCACTCATTTCATATTTGGTATCTAAAAGCTTTCAAAACCAAGTGACGTGAAATGCTGACTGCATTAAGAACTTCCACATATATTATCAATCAAAGAAAGACTTTAAACCTTGTCACACACATTTGCAGGGAAAATTAGACACACTTTTAGAAAAGAAAAAGAATATTATTTAAATCTCCCTTTAAGTATTTTATTTCCATTATAAAAAAAAATTAATGCAGCAGAGAATTACAAAGAAGCCACAGGTATTCAGGGGCCAGACACATTTGAGAGCATAAAGAAACCAGAACGGGTAGCAGTAAGCAAAGTGGGATAAGAAATGGTCCCTTACAACATTACACTCTTTAGAATCCTTACCCCTACCTTTCTGGTGCAGAACTGAGAGGAAGCTGGAGTAATATACCTAAAACAGGAGAATAAAGCTGTGCAAAGTTGTACAGTAAGGCAGAGGCTGGTTACATTACAGCGGAAGTATCCTTGACTCCACTTTGGTTTTCTTATTTTCCTGCCTCCATCTCTGTAAATAAATAACACATACTCAGTTTCCATTACACTAGAAAGATGAAGGCCAGTAGTTCTGAGACAAAAAGGGAAAAAAAAAAAAAAGAAGAAGCAGCTTCTGTAAGAGGAGCAAATGCCAAGGACTCGCAGCTTGATTCTATTTAGGATGGTAAATGAGAACTTTTCATTTTTTTCCTTTCACACCTTAGCCTTTCCTGCCAAAAAAGAAAAAAAAAAAAAAAGAAAATCCATTGAAAGAACAACCCCTTGTGGGACACTCCCAAGCTTATTTTTCATACCTCTTACCTGGTATGTAGAAGGCCCAGTGTCAAAATGCAGGAAGAATGCCCAGGCACACACTGCACTGATGTGATCACTGCTAAAATACAGCCAGCGTTGGTGTGCGCATGAAAGATGTGGGAACACAAGAAGCAGTTCAGAGGACATGTCAAAACTGAGAAAACGCACTTTTTGAAGAGAGGCTCAGGAGATGTGTCCAGCTTACTGCAGAACAGGTTAAGAGAGGATGTGATCACTGTGTATGTGGAAACAGAGCTGCTAATACCTGGTGGCATGCAGTATTGCTGGAACTGGGCCAACAAAATGCAAAAGCTAGCACTGAAGTTAAGAAAATTAAGTCTTGAAACCCTGAAATAGAATGCGTTTTCCTAACTGTGAGGCCTGCTAAACATTCCACACAGGAGAACAAGGAGAATAAATAGCATCTTAGGGTTTCTATATGACTAGCTATCCTTTTTTAAAAAAATAAATAATAATTTAGCTTCTGGTGAAACTTCTATGATTGGTGAAAGAGAGAAATTGCAGACTGAGTGTCCCGGAGGATTGCTCCTGACCTTGAAATCTGTGAAGCTCTGAAGACCCTTCTTTATCATTTTTCCTTCCTAAGCCATGGGAGACCAAGAGTGTTTGTACTGCTGTTAACGCTTGTAACTCCTGCAGCTTGCAACACCTGCAGCCTTGTATTTAAATGATATCTGTAAACAGATCCCGAGCTGCAGGATTTCACTTCATCTCCTGTGGTTGTCAAGAAGGAAGGGCTGTTCCCCAGCACACAATTATCTGGATGTATGGTTTCAGGGAAGGCTGCGAGGAGGTCACTTGCCTCTGAAGAATTAGAAACTGGCCATTGCTCAATATGAGGCTGCAGATGGGATGGACCAGAAAAGTTTTGTCTCTTAGACTTCTGGTTTTTGCATCCTTCTTTCTCACAGACCCAGGATTAAATCAGTTACTGCACTTGGGAGAGGAGAGGAGTCTTTCCACAGGTCAAATGGGCAGGAACCTGCCAGTAAATTCCCACTAGCTCTTGTAGATTGACTATTAGAATCATTTTAACTATTCAGTTTCCATTATTGCGGACATCTGAATGTCTCCTGCTCTGTAAATGTAGTGCTTGTACAAAGTAGTTTCTCCTCAAGCAATTAAATTATTTAGCCTAAGCACAGAATACCAGCGAGAGTCTTAATGGCTGCAGGTGTACAAGAGATCACACTAAATGATCTGATGTCCCCCTCTGGGGAACCTTTCAGCTAGAAAAACCACCAGTCTACAAGGGCAGCCTCTCTGGCCCTGTGAATGCTGCCGTATTCAGACCAAGGGGAACAGCTCCAACAGGAGCAATCATGAGAGAGATTCTTGAGCCTGGTGGTTAAAATACCCACCTGAGCAGCGGGAGCCTCAGATTCACATCTCTGTGGTCAGCCAGGCTGAGCAGACCTGCACAGTCCCGCGGTTCTTTGGGGGCAGGAGAATGGTAGGAAATCATAGAATCATAGAATGCTTTAGGTTGAAAGGGACCTTGAAGATCATCGAGTTCCTACTTTCCTCCCACTAGACCAAGTTGCTCAAAGCCCCATCCAGCCTGGCCTTAAACACCTCCAGGGATGGAGCTTCCGCCACTTCTCTGGACAACCTGTTTCAGTGTCTCACCACCTATACAGTGAAAAATTTCTTCCTAATATTTAATCTAAATCTACCCTCTTCCATTTTAAAGCCATTATCCCTCATCCTATCACTACATGCCCTTGCAAAAAGTCCTTCCCAAGCTCTCCTGTAGGCACACTTTAGGTACTGGAATGCCACAATAAGGTCTCCATGGAGCCTTCTCTTCTCCAGGCTGAACAACCCCAACTCTCTCAGCCTTTCCTCATAGGAGAGGTGCTCCAGCCCTCTGATCATCTTTGTGGCCCTCCTCTGGACCCAATCCAACAGGTCCATGTCCTTCTTATGTTGGGGGCTCCAGAGCTGGATGCAGTACTGCAGGTGGGGTCTCACAAGAGTAGAGTAGAGGGTCAGAGTCCCCTCCCTTGACCTGCTGGCCAGTCCTGGTTTTCTCTGTTACAAGAAAATCCAGCCTAAACCTCACAAAGAGTCCTGGCAGCACTTTCTTCTGAACTCCCAGGATTTCCGTGAAAAGTTTCAGTTTCAACTAACATGTTTTCCTAATCATCCCCCATCCCAGGGTGTTTAATAGACTGTGATTTGAGTCTGTGCTGTAGCACTGCTTCATCACAACACACAACTAGGCTGAGTGGGTTTATTGCATCATGAGACTCAAATACTTTTATCTGCACAATTTTTTTCTTTACATTTCTTTACTTTTGTACTATTTAATGCTCTGAATTTCATAGTATTATACAAATTTTATGCATTGTGAATTATTTTTTCCTTTGCAGAATTCATCAAAAGCTGCCCAGAACCCATCTCCTTGGGGTGCCAGTGGAAAGTAAGTTGCACAGAAACTTACATCAGATCGGCAGTCAGAAATTACCTGCAGCATGCTCTGATACTCTCATGTTTTTAATCCCAACACCTTTTAAGTAAATGTATTAAAATCTGTTTCCAGGAGCACAGGAACTCCATCACCCATGTCGCCTAGCCCTTCTCCAGTCAGCTCTGTAGGATCCCAGGGAAGCACGGGGGCCCCTTCCCCATCTCCTATCATCAGCATCCCACAGCGCATTCATCAGATGGCCGCCAACCATGTCAGCATCACCAACAGCATCCTGCACAGCTATGACTACTGGGAGATGGCTGACAACCTGGCCAAGGAAAACAGAGGTGAGTCAAGGCAATGGACTATTCTGGAAGACTGTCACATGATTTTGATCAGGAAAATACCTATTTTGATAGGAATCCTCTCTGCAAATTAGGACTGCAGAGGTGATTTTTTCTTCAGTTTGCTCCATGTCTGTTCAAAAACAGCCCCAAAAGGCAATTTTGATAGCTGTCTCGCTCAGAGGCATGTGATTTTTTTCTTTATTTGGGTGGTCAGGACTGGTGACAGACAGGTCACAGACATAGCTGTGGGTAGCATTTACTGCCATCTGTGTCATTCTGGAGAGGAAGATTTGTGGGAGGCAAGGCAGCTTCCTGGCCCCCAAAGTCATGGAGCTGGATGGGATGTGTTTAGCCAGACCATGTCAAAAAGCAGGAGCGTGCTTCCTCTCTGCAGAAGGAATGAACAGCCCCTAGCCCTGCCCCGATCCGAGCAGACACAGACGGGAACGAGGTGCCTCACTCCCTCTTCAAAGCAAACTTCTCTCAGCTGAACTGGTTTCCATAAGCACGTGCCTCAGCATCTGACTTGATGATAAATTATTCCTTGGTTTTCAGGCTAATGTATGTATTTAAGGCAGGGACATGGGCAGGATTCAAATCAAAATGAGGACACCTAAGCGTAGGTGTATGTATGTGAGTTGGGGGGTAATCTCCCCTTGCAGGTGATGGAACTTTGTTCCATACAAACAGCAGAGCTCAGGGAGCTGTTCAGATCACCCTGAAGGGGACACGGGGATAAAATTCAGTTGCCTAACCATAGCTGCCAAATGCCCCTTAAGGTATCCTTTCCTACACTGCCATTCCAGAAATCTCCTGTAGGTCCTGTGTTAGATCTGCCAGTCCGGGCTGTATGTATCAACTGCCTGAAGGCATCTCAAATGGGCACTACATGCCTCAAAGTAGGCAATTGAATTCAGTTCTTAGTGGCTAGTTAGTCAAATTACTCTTCAGGCTGGGATGACTGTGTTGTACAGGCCTCTATTTGTCTGTCGCGGTAGCTTAGATACCTAGCATGTGTATAGATAGACACTTGTGTGTAAACCTTTTGATTTAGTTGTCCTTAATCTCAAAATAAATCTTGCCCAGCTTATGTTTGCTTTATCAAGACTCAATGGAAATTAATGAAAAGCAAAGCCAAAGAACTCACTGTTTTGTTCTTTAAGAAGAAAATTGTTGTGCATCAGCCTGTAACATCATGAACCACAGGGCTTTAAAATTAATCTCACCAGCACTAAACTTTCATTCCCATGAAATGTTCAGCTTGACTCAATTTGCAAGAGAATAAAATCTATTAAAGGGTGACAAGTAGCAAATACAGCTTTGCGCTTCTGATGCTGATTTTTTTTTCCCCTGTAGATTTTTTTAACGACCTGGATGCATTGATGGGACCTATCACCTTGCACAGCAGTATGGAGCATTTAGTTCAGTACACTCAACAAGGACTTCACTGGGTGCGGAATAGCGCTCACTTGTCATAATGACTGTGTGCCATTCACATGGACAGTATACCTTTCATGGATAATTCAGTTATTCTGGACACTGTGCTACAGAAATAGTCAACCACAGCATTGATCCAAACAAAGGTGAATATCTCTCCAATACTGAGCAAAATTTTTTCTGAGTGTAGACATGTATGTGTGCATATGTGCAATATACAATGATGTCTCTCCAGAATGAATTGTTCTGTACCACTCTCCAAACATTTTCATACACTAGAAATCCTAGAAAGAACTGATCTTAATGCACAAAACATACCCTTTCTATTCTTGTGCTGAAAAACTCAGAAACAAAAATCTTATGGGTTGATTGAATCAAGTGCAATAAGCACAGATCCCTATTCAGGAAAGCTCTCAACAGATTCTTAACTTTAAGCTTGTACTGAAATCCTGTTGACTTCAGCAAAGCTTGAGCACATACACAAGGGCTTTCCTGAACTGGAATGTATGGGGGCAAATCATAGACATGGAGAACTTTTACTGCGAGCATGGACACGTCACAGACGTTTCAACATTAACGTGCCATCTCCCTGTTACTACCCCACTGGGGCACATAGAAGAGTTGTGTAGTCCACATTAAGTTGGAGAAAGACGGCATTGCTTCACGTGCAGTAAGTTCCAACAAATTGCATGCATTTCCTTATCTCCTGTCTTTTTAAATAACTTTTCCTCTTGCTCAGCTCCTCACCAACAGTATAACCTACAGTATCAAACAAAAAGCCTGAAAACAGATATGCTGATAGCAAGTACTTAAAAGAGATGGTGGAAAATTGCATTCTGTTACTGACAGTAAACAGATAAATGAAAAAAACGTGGCAAACTGCAATCCACTTAGTAAAGAAAATGTGTTAATTTCTGCTGCGTACACACAGAGAGACAGAGAGATATCTATAACAGTTGTTGGCTTTGCATGGGAAGGCTTCATCCCACAGATTTTGACTTCCATATCTTTTTCATCTAGCAGAAGCTTGCAGCATTTTCTTCTAGGCTGTACAGGAGCATTACATGCAATTTCCTTTATCTGGGAAGCTGAGTTTGCTGCTCATCAGGCTAAGAACTGTTTCCTATCATAATCCTCTCACTCTTCATGCATAATCCTCAACTAGGCTTTAACGTTTCTTGATTTATGGGATGTTTTCAGTTCCTGTTGACAGGCTGTGTTTTTCATGCCAGGAGAATTAATCCCACAATAATTGGAGTTTAATTTGGGTCAGCTGAGGTCAAGGCCAGTTCATATCAACTGTGCTTGCATTCAGTGCATTTTTGTTCATTTCCAGGGGTTTTCACACATTTAGTTTTCTTTTTCTGTATTGGAAATATATTTTTTTTTGCAATCAGATTTGCAACCTTTACTTAAGTCAGCAGCTCTGGTGACTTTCAATGGACTGTTCTTGTCCGAGTTACTAGTTGGACCCTTGACTGTTTTTTTCTAATCTAATTTACTTATATATTAAGGAAATGTGAGTACAAAAGACTCTTTCAATAGAAAATAGAAGTAGAAGTAGCTACTGATATCCATGGTTGATTGATTGATCCTTACTGCCTTTTTTTTTTCCTCCCCCATTTTTGAAGACCTGCATTTTGAAAAAAAAAAAAAAGATACCAAACAGTGCAGCACGTTTTGTCAGTAAAACATCTTTGGTAACACAGGCTGTATGTACCCTGTGGTAAAGAGTGGGCTTGAGAGCACACTGAGCCCCACATGCCTACATTTTTTTGTCGAGGCTGCTTACCATAACTCCAGCTATTGCTGAAACTCAGAGCATTCACCCTGTTGTCTGAAGCAGCTAAGTGGGGTAGCTATGGAGGGACTGCTCAGTCCCTGGGAGGGGACAAGATTTATGTGCCTGTTGGTGCTCAGAGACTTCCCCCTCAAGAGAAGTCCTGAGCTCAGGCTGTGGTCACCTCTTAGCACAGACTTGAGTGTTCCAGTGTGGCTGGCTTTAAGAGTGAACATGGACCTGCCTTTAAATGACAAAATACACACCCTCCAAGTCCTCCCGTCACTCTTAACTCTGGCTGTTACCCACCCCAGAAGGAACACAATTTGTTTGGTCACAAGTATGGAGAACTTGATCGGTGCCTTTCTGTTTATCACTTGCCTGATCTCCGGCTGTGGAAGTCTGACGTGATTTACGAGAGCAGTAGCAATGGATTCTGTCAGCTGCTTCAATACCATGTGAAGGTACTGTGGGATTTCTCCTCAGATCAGGAAAGTGAAATTCCAGTTAGATTAGCTTCTGTTTTCTTTGATGGTGCCTATGATGTTTATCTTCAGATAAGTTTGGGGGTTTGGGAGCCCTTACTTCTATTTAATGTTGAGAAATTTTAGAAGTGACAAATATTACTTGCCTTAAATGGACTTTAGTTTTATTGCACATGTGGCATTTGAGTTTCAAATATGGAACTTTGAAGCATGTTTATTTTACTAAGATCGAGATATTTTTCTTAATCATGATGAACTCTTTGTATGGATGTAATATGTCAAGAAACTTCAAAGAAAAGCAAGAATTAATGCTGTCCTGATGTAACATTTCCAAGTACTGAGGATCTCATGTAGATGATTGTCCTTTCTTGTACATTGTTCTTATATTGAATTTTTCCAGCTAAAATACCCATTGCTTCCATGGAAAAACACGCTGGTTTTCAGTTCTTGTGCTGGCGTCATCTGTGTTGTCTGATGAGCACACTGAGCCTTAACTTCTGGTGGTGTAACAGGATGAAATAGCAGCCACTTAAACCAACTAGATGTATAAATGGATTAGAGGTTTTGGCCTTATCTCCATAGGGTTTCTTGCAGCTATACTATTTTGATGAGGTTATTCAGAATAATTTTTAGTGCAGACTATTTGCTGTGTATGGTTGATGCTCTTTAGATGACTGAATGTGGCATGGTGACAACGAATACTTCCTTTCATCTCTTAGGGCCTGGTCTGGCAAAATCCATGTGGCTTTTGGGTCTGGTCCAGTTAAGCATATGCTCCACCTTAAGAACCTGAATAGTCTTAGGCACTTCACCATGAGTCAGAAGTGCTCTGTGTGTTCTGGATGGGACCAGAGCAGACTATCCTTCTTTGATGTTCCATGAAAGACACTTTCTTGTTTTAATCTGTTGTAAAAGTCCAGGGACATGCAGGCTTCTTTACACCATAGCAATGTCCAGGTTCATTCTGGGAAAGTAAGAAGTCATTCTGTACAAATCCAGAAGGATTATGCCAGGAGGGAGAGGTTTCCTTGCAAACAGAGGCTTCTGAATCATCCAGGGTTGGTAAAGCAATGGGAATTGATTCAAAGGAACCGTGTATTGCAGGTGGGCGCAACAAATAGCAGCTTATAGGATCCTCACAGCCAGCAAGATATACAGACCCCTTGGCCTTAGTCCTTTATAGTGTTCCATGGTGGCATGAGTGACAGGTAAGAACAAAGGATATGCAGAGGTTCAAGTGTGGCCAAAGGCCAAGCATAGTCCTCCTTGTCGCATGGCAGGATACCCAAGCCCCTTGTTTGCCTATTTCTTTTACCCAAATATCACAGGGCTCAAAAGGAAGAGATTATAGTGAACAGAGCGCCTTAGGTAAAGGAGGTTAAGAAGATCAAGTCCTAAGTGTAGATACAAACACATATGTATATACTGTAAATCTAAATTGTAATAAAAGTCACTCAGCATGAAGGATATTACTAGTGCCTACCATTGATCATCAAGTACTCATCACTGAGTAGCCATATCACCTCAGAAGTGCAGTAACTGTTATCAAAATAATTTGTGCAGCTAATTAATTTATAAGAAATGCACCTTTGGGACTGTGCCGTAGTATCTCTTTTGTAATACAAATGTTCAACCGTTTTTCATGGCTACTGATTCAAATCTACATCACTGAAATGTCAGGATATTTTTTCTTTCCCCTATGCGAGGACATATACTTAGACCTGGCTAATCTGTGCTTAGTTTATCTACCCAAGAGACTTTAGTAGTCACCAGCCTTAACGCATGTACAGTATATGCTATTCACTGATTTAGTTGTAGGTTTTAATCCAAATGAAATTGGAATTTGTGAAATGACTTGGATTAATGGCATCTGCCTCAGATATCCTGCAGATGTGACATTGAATGATTCATGATTTTAAGCAGGAAAGGTTGAATTTTATGTAAATAACAGTGGATGAATTCCTTGATCTTTTTACAAGAAGATTTTTTTTAAATTAAAAGATTGTCAAAGCAAAAGGGGTTTTTTAACTCTCCTAAATTTTCTGGAGGGTCATGGGTTCATGGTCAAAGCTATATTAAGAACATCTCCTTCCACAATATGCCTTGCCTTTACATAATCCTCTTAATGCTTAATATGTCAGAAAGAAATGTTTCTTTTTCACAGCGATAGCAACGTTTTCCTCCCCCATTCAGGGAGAATCCTCGAACTAAAGAATAAAATCTCCTGGCACAATAGAAATACAAACAATGCCTGAAGAATATGGACGTGTTAAAGTAACAATAGAAGTTTGGCTGGCGCAGACCTAACATGCCTCTCATTTTGGTATCTTTTTGTTAGCATTTACATCACATATTTGAACTCATTGTGTTTGAAACTAGAGAATTAGTCAGATTTTCATGTCTTAAAAAGGCCTGCTAGGTCTGATCACTATCATAATTATAATTGTTACATTAGCTTATGTGCTGTGCACTGAGGGCTGGGAAGGCATGTAACCGCAGATAAATTTGTCAGAATGCTTTCAGAAAAGCACTTGGACGATCTTATGTCTAGTCTGTCTCGAAAACTGGAGAACAATGACTCTCACCCAATATACTTAACATGAAAATTTGGTTACTTCAGGGTCTCTCATAAAGCTGGCATTTGCCCTCAATAAGGCCAAGACTCCATTTCCAGTGTTACTGGTTGCCATGCTGTAAATTGGTTTTAATGTTAACAAACTGGGAAAGTCATTTTAGGCCCTGTTTGTGCTTACCTCACTAAAGCTACATAGAGAAAAAACATTAAGATTTGGGGCATCCAAGGCTCCATCGTTCTTTCAAAAAGACTATGGTTTTCCTCGGTGAGACGGGCAGGATTCAGCTGGGGCTCTTTCTTCAAGTAATTCCTCTGCCTCCGCTTGCCATCTAGCTCTATTGCTCTTGTTAGTCCTCAAGTATGCCTGCACTTTCAGGGGTGTTTTCTATTTTGGCAGCCCAAGCCACCTTTCAAACAGTGTGCTGGAGCATCTAGCAAGTAACCCACAGGTTGCATAAAGAGCCCTGCTTTTCCCCACAAAACCAGTAGCAAATACAGCACGGCTCCCTCTCTTTTCCGATCTGTGTAGCTTGAATCCCACATGCTGTAGTTTGAATCCCAGCCTCATCCCCGCTGCCCTTGAAGGACTCCAGAGGGTCCAAGGAAAACAAGTGAATGACGAAAAAATGGGGATTTCCCCTGTCCCAAGGCACATATTCCTTTTTGGGAATGAATATTGAGAACAGCATGGATCATAAGGCACTCAGGTCTCATGTTTCTCATATGTACTAACACAGGGATACTTAACACTTATCTGCCTCATAGGGCTTTATGAGAATTAATTAATGTTTGCAAATCACTTTG